ATAAATGTGCCATGTTTTCTTGCCTCTGGCTGGCACACATGTGATCCCCCAACGCCTGGAATACCTTCCTCTTGTCCTCTCTCCCATGTATTTCTACAAATTCCTACTCATCCTTTAAGATCAACTTACAAGTCCCTTGCAAGACCTTCCCTGTTCTTCCCCATTTACAAAGCTAATTGGTACCAGGACACCTTAAGAAGAGGATATACCTTGACTGTAGAGCATATAACAATGTTAGGGAGATCAGCATTGGTTTATAGGTCTCCCTCACTCTTTTGATAGTGTTCTTTGAAGGCAGTGGCCATTTTAATCACCTCCCTATCTCTGGTACATGGCAGGGACTCAAATGTCAGTTGAATAAACGTATGTCTGCTAACAGACATACAGTAAGAGTTTAACCTCTCCTTCCAAATCTACCATTTGTCTTTCTCTCCTCAACAGTGCATCTGCAGAACTTTTAGGTAATAGGTTGCTTTGGAATAGAGGTTTTTCTTTACAGAAAGTTTAAATACTTGAGTTTAATTTTTGGCATTTCATGCTTCTCTTAACAAAGAGAAGAGAAATGAGAGAAGAAAGGTAGGATTATATTAATATCAAAAGATAAATGGATAGGCTGACTATGACAAAGGCAAAAAGCAAGCACAGTTGGCCATATGATGATACCAGCTGACACATATTCTACACCACCCTATCCCTCTCACTCCAAGACACACATACACAGGTGCACATAAAAAGCTAATAACAAGTCACTTTGGGAAGTTCAGTCATAACCTATCAACAGGAGACCCCATCGAATAGTAAACACCAGAATGAGTATATTATTAGGGTTGCTAATGGCTAATTAATATCTGAAGATCAGGTTTCTGGGCACATCTTGCTACATACATCTGTGCACTAGGCAGTCCCAGACGGTATAAAAACCAAGTATGGGGCCTGCTTCTTCGTAATAGGCTGTTCCTGCAATATTGCCAAGGTTGTGACAGAATCGTGCGACAAGATCAAGAATCGTCTGCCTGCAGTCTCCTCAGGCACAGCCCTGCTCCTGACTCTGCACATCTGAGAGAAGTTTCCAGTCAACTTCTGGGTCCCAGGAACAAGGCTACTGTTACATAAAACACCAGAAGGGGCCTTGTTTTGCTCCTTCTAGAGAAAGAGAATGGTCACAATACTCAACATACTGCTCCCCTCCCCCAAGACTGACTGGGAAGGGGTACAAGGGAACTTTCTGGCGTAATGGAAACATTCTATGTCTTGACTGAAATGTAGGTTACCTGGGTGTATGTGTTTGTCAGAATTATAGTATTATCCTCTTAAGATTCACGCATTTCACTGTATGTAAATTTTGCGTAGAAAAAAAGAACCATGCACGATGATCAAACTCTACGTAATAGGTTTACTGTCTGCAGTAGTATGGACTAGCAATTTTGGAACTACTTTCTGTGTATTCCAGGCTTGAGCAAGTAAGTGAATATATGCAGGATGCTGGGAGCCAGGTTTCTCACTGTTGGGGAAGGTAGTTACAAATATGGAAAGGCGGAAAGTTAACATTACCAAAGGGGATAAAATATATCATGTGCCTCCTGACATGAGGATACATCATCATTTCTTTGGTATTCCTGCCAAAAATTCATAACCTGAATCTAATCATAAGGAAACATTAGACAAATCCAAATTGAGGGAAATTCTACAAAATAACTGGCAAAATGTCAAAGTGGTGAAGTTAAGAAAGACAAAGAAAGGCTAAGGAACTTTTCCAGATTGAGGGAAGCCAAAGAGACATGACAACTAAATGCCCGATCCCGAACTGGATTCTGGTCTGGAGAAAAAACTTATGAAGAACGTTACTGGTACAAATAACAACATCTGAAATATGGACCGTGTATTAGATAACAGTATTGTTAACAAACATTAAACTGCCTGAATTTGATAAGTGCATTGTGGTTAGGTAAGATAAGAACCTTTTTCTTAGGAAACATATGTTGAAGTACTTAGCTATGAACAATCACAATGTCTCCAATTGACTCTCAGTTTCAACAAAAAGAGGAGAGGCAGGGAGGGAGAAGAGCACATACACACAAATGGGGAAAAATGTAAACACTTGGGGGATCTGGGTAAAGGAGTTCCTTGTACTATTCCTGCAACTTGTCTGTAAGTTTAAAATTATATCAAAATAGAAAGGTACCCCTCCAAATACCCTAACTTCCTCCCAATTACTTAGGTGAAAATCTAAAAGCAACAAATTAACTCCATGTATTATAAGAAATTCTTTCAAGAATATCAGTTTCAAATCTGTACTTTTCCCCTTGGTAGCAATTCCACACAACTACTTGGCTCTGAATTCCTTTATGAAACCTAAAAAAGGACTCATATACCTTCAAATAGGGTTTTTTGAAATTCTAGTGACAGATACTATCATTTTGGAAAGTCTTACAAGGCAATAAATAGAAACTGGAATGAAAGCGACTCCTCACCACCCTCCTCCCTCCAGATTCTTCAATATTTTTTCTGGAAGATGGAACAATTCACCTGGCTGTATGCCAAGCTAAAATCAAATAGGATAAGGAACAATTTGCGTGTAGATGATTTAGCCTTTCCTGCCACAGAAGCAGAGAACTGTAGTCTTCCCCACCTCAGGCCTTATAAAAGGTCTATATTTTATTGATATAAATAAGGTAATGAAGGCATTTTTACTCAGCATAGTTTATTCTACCTCCCCAATCTTTCTGTACTTGTGCTTAAATCAAGACACAAGCATGGCCTTAGTGCTAGGGGGAAAAAAAAAGCAAAAATACTGAACACTACCAAAGGAAAAAATTACTTCATGGATGTCAAAGGAGAAATTTTTAAAAGTCATTTTTAGCCTCAAAGAATTTTTTTGAAACAATAACAACTATGATATGACTCAGTATAAAAAATATTATGCGAAGTATGAATTAAGAAAAATTCACATGCACAGAGATGAAAATGTAATTGGATTTGTCATTTCAAAGTATTAATGCTGGGTTTGCAGATAATAGAGAATGACATCCTCCTAAGCGAATAAATAAGTTAGCCAAGTAAGTAAATGCTGTGTTTCTACTGTAAGGAAATACATGCACCAATGAAGCAACCTTTTCAGCACAAAAGAAATTTAATACCCAGACCACATGAAAAGTGATCGCTATGGGAATAGCACAGCTGTTAAAATCCAAGTCAGTTTGTATTAAATCGTCCAGCATGTTTATGTAAAGCAGGACTCTCAGAATGACCACCAAGGGGAAATAATTTTGCTAACAAAAAAGTAATACCTATAATTAATTTAATGCTTACAATAAGTGTGAAAGAAAATGCAAAGCTATTCTCTTTCAAAGAATATAAGGGACCTCAGCTAGCTGGTATGCTTGTGATCCTTTTGTAAACAGTATCTCAAGGGCTAATTTAATTAGAAATAGAACAAGAAAAAATGAGTGTTTGCATTTCACTTAGAGAACCCAATTATCGTTATTTCATTGACTAACCAGATTTACATAAAGCCACAGAAAAACCCCTGGCACTGGTGCCAAACAATTTCAATATGAAAATTAATACTGCCAAGTTATTTTGAGACCAATTAGCTTAGCCATTCAAAGAAAAAAATGTGCTCCACTGAAGAGCACGTAATCCTAAAACCTGCATTTCTGAAGACAGAAGTGCACACAGACGTCCTTGAGGCCCTGACTCGAGAAGATAGAAGATGCCTTAAAGAACCTACAGAAAAAAGGAGCTCACGGATAACTACTAACAAACAGCTTTAAATCTCAACAGAGACACTTGGGATGCATAACGAAAGAACAGGAGCTTACTTTACTTTTGAAGAAAAGAGAGAAAGAGTTACTCTAAGTTTTTGAGCACCTAAAATTAACCAAATTTATCAACATTGTTTGTCAAATCTGAGTTAACTTTTTTAAGCTTTTTTTTTGGCCGTGCCGCACGGCATGTGGGATCTTAGTTTCCTGATCAGGGATCGAACCCGTGACCCCTGCATTGGAAACTCGGAGTCTTAACCACTGGACCACCAGGGAAGCCCCCGGAGTTAACTTTTTAGAGAGACTGACTGGTCAGGATTGTGCTTCTCATAAGACAAGACTCGGGTAGAGTTTTCAAAGAAAGCGTGTCATCTCAGAGTGGAGAGACTATCCCTAGAATTCAATCCCTTTCAGAGTGCCAGATGTAGGCTACACAGCAAAGTCTCAAATTATAACTGAGAGGCCAGAGTTTGGGATTAATGACCCCAACGCTATTTTGCATAACACTTGAACATGAAAGTCTTATCAAGAATCATGAGTTTTAAAAGCCCAGGTTAAATCACTGGGCATTAGAAGGCTTAAAGAGGTATCCAAAAGGAAATCAGCTATAACACACAGTGTACATGTAAAAATAACTCAGACTATCTCAAAGCCTATTAAAAAATGAGATGCCATCACTGTAGTTTTGAGATACATCAGCCGTTTCCCATTACAATGGAGGACATACCAGCTCTATTTTTAGAGCCTCTGGAAAGATCAAAGCTGAATGGGCCCTTTTATTGGCTCCCGATCCAGGGCCCTAATCTCTGTTTACTCCTTCTTTGTCATTATGTAGATCTCCGAAAGACACACCACCAGGACCGCCTGCTACCCCTCATCCCCTGAGTAACACTTAAAAATTGCTCTGGGACGGTCGGTACAAGCGAGGAGCTCTCTGGGGAGGAACAAAGACGAGTAAAGTTCAAATTCGAGTCCAAATTACCATCGTGATTCAAGTACTATATAGAACTATAGTAATCTAATTCAGTCTCTCTCTCTACACTATAAACCACACTTTCTCAGGCTGGTTTCTCTGTGAGAATGAATACAGATAAAATGAAAACACAATCCTTTCTGGTTTGGCATTTTTAGGCCCTCCCCTCCTCCACAGAAAGCCCTCAGTTGGTTTCAGTGCCTCTGGCTAGTAAGGCTGAAGAGCTCATTTTAAACAAGTCCCATGAATGTAGAACGACTTACTTTGGAAGAACAAGCTGTACATTTGTCAAATGCCAGGCTGACAGGAAGGACATTATCAAATCGCGACAGAAATCCTCGTATCTAAAAACAAACACAACAAGGCACATCAAGCCCAGAATGACACACCTGTGAAGTACGTGTGTCGCTTCTGACAAGTGGGAAACAATTAATAGGGTGCTCCTGGTACAGATTCACAAAAATGAAGTTCAATGTAGATATTTTCCCTCGTACTATATAATCAGTTTGAGGAAGAACTATATGAGGTCCTTTATTCCATTAAGAACTGGTCTACAAGCTTTGCACATATTTGAGACCTAAACACAAACTGACTCCAAAATATAAAAAGAAAGCTGTAAAATCTGAAGTATTGTTTTCATAAATGTCTTCAAATATATAACCAGTCAACTAGTTGATTACTGACAATTCTCATGTATGTTACAGTGAATATAGGACAAGTGTGCATTTTTAGGATGTGGTATTGGAGTGCGGCCTCACTAGGTAAGAAGGGCTGGGGACTACAGAAGGCAGAAATGGTCCTAAATATAGATCCAGTTACTTGCCTGAGTTGGAACAGATAGGGATAAAATGGAGCGCATTACCAAGTTTATGGGGAAACAGCGCCACCTTGAGCACCTCAGTTATAATTTCTGAATTACAACTCATTTCCATTTACGGGGTGTCAGTTATAATCAGGTTTCCCAAACTATAATTTAAGTAATCCAGACACTACACTTCCAGAACTACACTGACACCAAAAGGGGACTTTAAACTGTTACATATATCATTTAAACATTATTACTAAAAATATGTATGGTGAAATCTCTAAAGTCTCCACAGGACTCAACATTTACAATAAGCCAAACACCACCAATCTTCTCTTGAGTTAATTTATTTGGTCTTGACAACTACCCCACTGATGAAACTCCGGCTGGGAAGGGTGAAGCATCTTGGCTCAGGTAAACAAAAAGTGACAACGCTAAGATTCAGAAGCGGGCCCCTGATCCCAAACCTGGCCAGGCCCTGGCCTGGGCTCCCTCTCTCCTTCCTTTCCCTTCCCTCCCTCTCAGGACAGCACAGCTTTTGTCTTCAATGTGAGGGCTCACCACACATTTAACAGCCTCACTTGAATACAGCAAAAAAAACAAACCCCCCCCCCTCCCCCACAGTCCTTGTTGCCTTTAGCCACCCTATCAACACTCCCCCAAAACAAAACCAAGGAAACCTGGCGGACTCTTTAAAGAGACAGGCTTCTGAGTGTGGGCAACTCCACCTTTAAGCCCACACTGCAACTAGTCTAGTTACATTTGCATACTTATTGCTGGAAGATCTAACCTTAAAGGAAATGCCTATAGCAATCTTTTAAACGTTGTCATCTATGTGTTATGAGATTTCAATGTAATCCAAGATCAAGAGAGTGTTTGGTAGAAATGATAAGCTAGATAGCTGGGATAAGTTAGCTGGCCTCACGGTAAACCTTTGAAAATGTGACAATCTTTAGTTCTCTGTATCTCAGGAAGGTGGTGACCATTTCCTAATACAGTGCTTGAGGCACAAGCAGGGTCCTAAGTTTGCTCTCCAGGTCACCAAAACAAGAGATGGCAAACCAGCAGAAAAGACTATAACGGCAGGTCACAAATGGATATGTTGAGATCCTCATGAGATCTGGAAGTTACAGGCCCAAAGAATTCTCATAGTGAGTCTCCTTCTATCTCAATGGCTTTAATATTAAATTTACCTAGAAAAATATTTATCATATGTAGCATATTTTCCATGAAAATGTTCACTGATATGGCCTACAGGTTAAGGTCTCCATATAGGTTTCATGAAAAGGTCTCCTGATTCTCTTTTCTCTCATACAGGTAATAAACTTTCTTTGTGTTGTGCAAAGAAATACTGGTATTTTTCTCTGCTAAACTGTTCCACGATTGGAGGTGCGGAGTTAAAGGCGAAGGGAAGGGAGACAGTAGACCCAGTTAGGAGCGGAAAGGAAGGGAGAAAAGGGAGAGGAAGGAAGGAAGGAAAGAGAAAATATAAACCAAAAACACAGGTGGTGAGCAACAGAAAGGAGCCGAAGTGAATGGGGTGGCCAAGCAGGGGCACCCACACCATTGTTTAGCACCCCAGACAGCTCTTTACCAGGAAACTGACTCATTTTCCCAGGAAATGAAGTAGAATAACATCTGTGTGTGAGGCCTTTCAAATTCCCCAAGTTGGTCTCAGAAGGCTCAGAACTCCACCAAACTAATTCCAGTTTTAGGAAATTCAAAAGATGAAGGCCTGTTCTCACACCAACTGCAACAGACTCCTGACGGGCACCTCCACAGGTGAGCTCTCTCCCTCCCACTGAATCCAACACTCTGCTATGGATTAATTTTCCTAAGACACAGCTCTGAGGTGTGTCACTTTTTATCAGCTTCCTAGAGCTGATCAAAAAAGCAGAGAATTCCTCATGCTGGCACTCAAGGTCCCCCCTAATCTGGGCCCATTTTGCCTTTCTGATCTTTTCACAGGCTTCATACAGCTACTAAGCTCAAGTACAACGTCCCTCTCAAAGACACTACTGTGTTGCTGACCTTGTCTCACGCCGAATTCTGTGACTCAGAGCTCTTCCTTTGGGAACCAGCTATATAACCAAATCTACATCTTCCATAATAGTCACTCAAGCTCAAACACACCTCTTTCATAAATACTCAATCCACCCACCACTTGACTTAGAGATAACGCCTTCATTACGTGAAATCCTTCTTTTTGGTATTTATCACCAAAATAACTTATGTAATAGTTATTTCTTTAAAAAATAACAGGTTTACTGAGATAAAATTCATGTACCATAAACTTACTTTAGAGTATACAATTCAGTGGCTTTTAGTATATTCATGGAATTTTGTAAACATCACCAAAACCTAATTTCAGAACATTTTCAGCACCCCCAAAAGAAACTCAGAACCCCTAAGAAATTAGTCCCCATTTTCCACTTTTCCCAAATGCTGGCAACTACTAATCTACTTTCTATTTCTATTGATTTGCCTAATTTGCCTATTTCCTACAAATGGAATCATACATGACTGGCTTCACTTACTATATTGTATCATGTGTATTTCATTCCTTTTTATTGCTAAATACTATTCAATTACATGGATATACCATATTTTGTTTATTCACAAGTTGAATAACTTTTGGGTATATATATAGAGAGTGGCATTAATGGATCTCATGGTAACTATATGTTTAACATTTTGAGGACCAAAGTGACTGCACCATATTACTTTCCTGCCAGCAACATACGAGGGTTCCAATTTCTCCACCTTCTTGTCTCTTTGAGGTAGCCATCCTAATGAATATGAAGTGGTAGCTCACTGTGGTTTTGATTTGCATTTCTCTAATGACTAATAGTGTTGAGCATTTTTTCATGTGCTTCTTGACCATTCATATTATCTTTCTTCAGAGAAATGTAGATTCAAATTCTTGGCCAAATTTTAAATTGGGTTTTCTTTTTATTGTTGAATGTTAAGAGTTCTTTATATATTCTGGATATGAGTTTCTTTCAGATATGATTTTGCAAATATTTTCTCCCATTCTGTGGGGTGTCTTTTCACTTTCTTGATGGGTGTCCTTTGAAGCACAGAACTTTACTTTCTTGATGTCCTATTTATTTTTCCTTTGGTTGCTTGGCCTTTTGGTATCATAGATAACAAACCAATTCTCACCCAAGGTTAAGAAGAGTTAGCATGTTTTCTTATTTAATAGTTTTAGCTCTTACATTTAGGTCTGCAATCCATTTTGAGGTGTTTTTTTATATGGTGTGACATAAGGGTCCAAATTCACTGTTTTGTATGTGGAAATCCAGTTGTTCCAATACTTTCTTGAAAAGGCTCTTCTCCCCCCGTTTAATTGGCAAGAAATGACCATAAATGTCAGGGTTCATTTCTGGACTCTCAATTCTATTCTGTTGATCTATATGTCTACCTTTATGACAGTACTACACTGTCTTGATTATAGTAGCTTTGTAGTAAGTTTGGAAACTGGGAAGTATGAGTCTTCTAACTTTGTTCTTCTTTTTCAAGATTATTTTAACTATTCTGGGTCCTTTGCCTTGCCAAATGAGTTTTAGAATCAGCTTGTGTAATATAATTACTTAAAAAATTACTTTTTAATCTCTCTTGCTTTTAGAGGGCAAGATATAGGTTGAACTATTTGCATCTGTCCATAGCACAGTGATTTGCTCATAACGAATACTAATTATTAATTATGAAATGAGTGGATGAGAAAAACACAAACATCCCAAAGCCAACCAAATTATTCATACCTGAAGTATTCAGAGGAAACACATCCCAAATAAACCACAAGAAAAACTCCATCTTACCACCATTCACATCTTCCAGGCAATATGAAGCCCTTCCCCATCAACAACTCTTTAAATCCCCTGTATTACAAATGCACTGAGCTTCCACAATATGCTCTGTGTTCCCTAAAATCTTACAAGAAATGCATAAAATTTAAAGAGCAGAAGTTGCTACTTAAAATTTTAGCACCTTCCTTAGACATGCATAGAAATCCCAGGGCAAATCTAAAATCCAGGCACCTGATGCAAAATCCTAATAAATATATTCTACCTATTTAGAGAGGCCAGGCACGAATTCACAATCAAAGAAGTTATAAGGATTTGTCCCTTGCTTGGGTGGAGAAAAATTCACCAACACCCTCCTACTTAGAAGTGTGCAAAGTATATGAAACAATATGCTCATCTGGTATTTTTCGAAGCCTGCCTGATCAGAAGAATCCCCTGGAACTTGACTGAAAAGATCTGAAGTAAGGCCAGAGCATGTGCATGTTTAACAAGAGCCCAGGTGATTCAGAGCCTTTGGAAGACGATGCTTTCAGTTACCAACCTCATTTACCCCTTCCCGTGGTTTAATCTATACCCTCAGCATCACCTGTTGTATGTCAGAAAGCAGATGGAAGCAGTTAGCAAGCCTCTCCCTCCTTTCCACGTTTTTTATGCATAGCACCACCACACCCGGCTAATTTAGCCACATCTAAATTAACATCTAAATGACAAGATTTTATAAAGTGATTTCTCC